TCTTCGAGTCTTCTTACTTGAGAAAACGTTTGTAAGCGCTTCAATCAGTGAGAATTACATCAGTCTAACTGAATTTTAGTGTTTAGTAGTGTACAAAAGTTTTTTCTATACCTGATTTTTTTGTAATTTAATGCATTTAAACTTCATTATCAATACATAGAGTCGCATTTAAATTCGGTTTGTGTCTAAGTTACAACATTTAATAATACTCTTTTTCACAAAATAATAATACATCTAAAAACGTGAGGCCCTGAACCGAACCTCGTGCTTCTAAACTTAGATAAGGACCTCACGCTACAAGAGTATAGTATGCCTCATATCGCGAGACCCTAAGCCATTGCCTGTTTACCTTATGTGTTAATTTGCTCACGTTAATATATCTTTAATAAATTTATTTTATATTTATATTACATAATCCCCAAATTAGGAAAAATAAGGATATTTTCAATCTCTTATTTTCTTATTTTGTGAATAATAAATGTGTAATTATATTGGCTTAATTATATTATAAGAAGCACTAGTTATAGGCTATATATGCCGAAGGGCTGTTCCTTCAATGAGGCCAATACAAGGAATGGATGAGTCTGTACTAAATCATTAACGTCCAATCCAAGTTCGAACCCGATCCAGATTCATATAAAAGAGTTATAAGAATTAGATAGGATTTGAACCCGAACTCCTCAAAGAGGTAACGCGACATAGAAATAATGCAACAAGAACAAAAGATATAGAGAAGTATAAATTCGAGCTTGTATATCTAAAAAAAAAAAATGGTATGTCTGGTTGTTTGTGTCATGATTTCTTGGAAATTAAAAGAATTAGAAAGGTAAAAAGTTCAGGAGTTATAGTGGACAGTTTTTCCTAGTGCGGAGACTAGAATCTTTATTTATGCTACACCCAGCATTCCTAAATGCAAAATTCCAGCTTCTCGGATATTAAAAGAGCTGGAAGGTTGAAATTTTGTATTCACTTTGGCCGTGCTTTTGTCTATCCGCAAAATTTCTCAGAATTTATATCTAGAAAGTTGAAAATTTTCGGGAGTTTTGTACTGATCAGTCTCCTCTCACTGATCCATTTGTGCTAACTTAGCAGTGTGAATTCAAAAGTCTAGTTTTTTCGAAACAAATAAGAGTTTATATTATAAAATTACAATTTATATGCAAATATGATATGTATATATATCACTCCCATTTATGCCATTTTTATTAATAATAATTTTGATGTATAAATTCTTATTTATTTAATATAAAAATTTAATAAAACATTTAATTTATAATAAATATTTTGAATTATAAATTTAAAATAATATTTTATCTACTTATATTAACATTTTTCAAATACAGTATTAAACATTAGAAAAATGCCATTTAGACAGCAAGATATTGCCACGAAATTAACTTACAAACAAGGACAAAACCTTAATTTTATATATATAAAAGTATGTTTAATTATAATTTTACATAAATATAATGATGATAATCAAATTATATGATTTTTTTTCTATAAAAATGTAGAAAATTTCTTAAAATATCTCCAAAAGATCAAATCACGTCTTCTTCACACATCAACTAATAGAAGGTAAATTTCTAATAGTGTAATTAACATAACGACAAAATTATTTAATATTACTTAAAGCGTAACATCAAGTAACACATTTAAACTTTTGGAAATAGTTAATAAAGGTGTCAGCTTTAAGATACAGTAAAAGTTACTCCACGATATCTCTTGGGAGAAGCTCGAATCATTCCGCCATTAATAGATAATCGAAGATGAAGTTCTAAACTTCCTACTTGGATCCTAGTCTAAATAAGTTGAAACCGTACAAATTTAGGATTAAATTTCCCAAAGGATAACGTTTTTAGTCAATGAATTGAAACTTTCTAACAGATTAAAAGCACCGAATGGACTCATTTCGCCTTTATAACCCAACAAGAAGGAGCTTTCTAGTTTTAAAAGGGTTAAAAATCTCTAGAGATTTAAATAAGTGGATAAAAGTCATTAACACTCTCTAAATATTCTGTTTAATGTTATAATTTATATAAAAACAATTCAACAAACCATATTTACTTATTTAAAATTTCAGTTTTTTTTTGTGTGAATGTGTTTGTAGTTCTTTCTTGCTGTTAGATATTGTGTTTAAGAGCTGTGAGAATCTAAGAAAACAATTGTTTTTGCTGTAAATGTTTAAAGCCGAAACGAGATTTTACAAAAGAGAAAATAAAAATAATGAAAGTTGTTCTTACGAGTGACGTGAGGATGAACGATGTCGAACAAAACCATTGATTGCTAAAGCACTAAGCCTAATTGAAAAGACCCCCTTCTTTCCTCTATTTGATCACTGTTAATGATTAGTGGGAAATTGTTCGTTTTCCCCCTCTTCTTGCTTTACTTCTTTATCATAGAAGTGGTTCATTCGAGTGTCCGTTTGCGTTACTAGCACGCCATTAATTTTGTATTTTCCACCCCCTCAATTTTTTTCTTTCTTTTACTTCTAACCTTAACGTCAAATCTAACTTGTAGCCATTTATGTTTAAAACTAATCAATGTGTTTTCTTTTTTCTTTTCTTGTCTTTAATCAAATTACGCTTAATTTTATAGGAAATTAAAGATTATTCTTATTTAACTTCTTTCTCTTTTATCATTAATTAAACTCGTTTAATCAAAATAAAGTAATTGGTCATTTTGGTTATAAAACTGTGTGTAAACTCGATAATTTTTTTTTGTCAAGTTTTAATCAGAATAAGGATAAAAATAACTAAAATTATTATAAATTATGTAAATTTTATGTGTCATACGATTAATACCTTCAGAGCAACATATACACTCTCGAATTTAGTGAAGAATTTGACATTTCTCTCGAATTTATTGTGTATTTGAGTTTAAATCACGGCGGTTTTAAGTTCCGCAGGAGTCTGTGCGTACCTGAGGCCCCTAAAGCGAAAGGCCTTTTACTTATAAGCTTATACAATATAAATTCCGTATCATACGCTATTTGATATTATACCAGGCGATCCTGGCTAGTAAAAGTACTGGACCAAGATAGAGCATTATCGACAAGCATTTATTTGTGCGTGTCTGAGGCCAAAATGCGAGATTAGAAGAACGTATATTTAAAACTCTATTTCATGTAAGCTTATATTATATTATAAAAACCCAGTATCACATTGTATTTAATATTTTACATAATATTTTAAGGTCTAGTGTCTTAGTACTAGTTTTTAAGCACTATATCAAGGTGAGTAACGACAAATATAGGCCTATTTGTGCGCATCTAAGGCCCCCAAAGCGCAAGACCATGGGCAAATAATAATTTGAGAGGCCTCTTTTATATAAGTTTTTTATTATAAAACTGTATCAAACGATACTAATATTGAGTAGATCTCTTACTGCAAAATCGAGATATCAAAATAGGTGTTCACAAGCAAAGATTTGTACGTATTTAAGACTCTCAAAAGCGCGAGATTCTATAGAAGTATAGATTTGCGAGGGCCTTTTCACATGAATTTGTATAATATACAAGTAAAAGCGCCTATCATTTGATATTGAAGTCTAGTCCTGAAATTCCAAATATTTAAATTACAGAGTCTAGGATTAGGAATACTTTACTAGGAAGGGTATCGATAAGCATAAATCCGTGCATGTATGAGGCCTTTAAAACATTATGCCCTAAAAAAAGCCTAATTTGTCTGTACTTAAATAGTCACTGTTTCAGCATGTTTTATCAGGAAAAAAAACTTTATAAGATAAAAATAATGGTTAATAAACAGTTTTATTTTAATCTTTTCCTCAAAAAAACTCGATAACATTATTGAAAAACACTAATTAGTCATTAATTAGCGTTTTATACGATAATATCCTGAATTAATCCACACTTAATTAAGGAATTAAGCAAAGCGTCGCTCGGATATCGAAACCAAATCATGTAAAAATATTAAAAATTTTTTGATAATAAAAATGATATCTAGCGCAGTTTTAGCCTCTTCCATTATTTTATTATTATGATTTTTTTTAATTCACATTTCTACCGTTCGATATCTTCGATTATGATGAAAACGCTTTCTTAATCGATAGTGTTTAGTATAGTAGAGATTTTAAACTAGTACTACCATCTATGGACAGAAACAATAACTAAATACATTTTATGGCTTCTTTATTTGATTTAAAAAGTATAAATTTTGATATATTTATGCTCGATTTGATTAAAGAAACATAAAATTTTGCGAATTCTAAGCAGGGTTGGGTTCAGATTTATCGTGGCTCTTCTCCTTCACTAAATACATGTGATAAATTATACATATTAAGTTTTTTAGAGGATGAAGTGATGCCCCTCTTAGCAGAGGCCTTAAGCGGTACTTTGTTTTTTTATGTGCAAATCCTGCTGTAATAAAGTAAATGATAGAATTTAGATATGTGTAAATAATAAAAATGTAGAAATTTTGAAAATGGAGGAGGAAGAAACAGAAAGAAGAGTTTAAGATGTAGAAGAATAAAAACTACTAATATTTAAGAAAATTACAGGTTTATTTTTATAAATATAAACATAGGTGTTGATTTATTGATGTAGTGTGCCATACCCATCGCCTTCTGGCACCATTAATATAATGGAATCGACTGAAGTAGAGGGTCAAAGCTGAAGGTAGAAGACTTTTCGAATCTGTTTATACAAGTTCAATACATCTGTTAAATATATCTTATGATTTAGAGTATATTTTTTATGTATAATTCTTATAAATAGTTAAAGAGCACAGTTTACAAGTTTGAGTCACACTGAAATGAGGAATGGTTATAAGTCTTATATTGCAAAAATAGTCGTATTTTATATTCTGATAAAGTTAGTAGTTAGGTCTGTCTGTGCCATTGGAAAAATTAAGCAGTAAGTGTTCTAATAAATAAAATAATGATTATAATTAATTAAAAACATTAAAATAATAATTAAAAATAATTAAGTACTTGGCATAATTTGTCGACACAATTTTTACATTACATGTTAATAATTCTAGTACGTTAAAGAAGAAAGAAGAGTAGATCATGTAGGAAAAATTTCTCAACCAGTAGATCGCGATTCCCTTAAATAAAATCACTTGTATCACAGCGTATTTAAGATTGAAAACTTAAGTTATATTTGTTATTTAATAAAAGTTATTTATTTATTTATTTATCTTTTGCCTTCTTTAATTGAAAGAAAATCAAAATTTACATATGTCATATTTTTTTAACATTTCAGAAATAAACTACATCAAAACACTTTTTCTTCGTTACTACAGCAATAAAATAACAATACAATTTTATATTATTTTCTAACGGCTTGATCCTGGTGTGAGAGAATTGATTCAGAATGTCTATAAGAAGAATCTGTAAGTTTGTAACAGCATTTCTACAAGTTTAATATGATTTCTTCACTGATTACAATAGTTATTTACATGTAATTACTTAATCAAGTTTAAAGCAGAATTGATTTTAAATCGCTCATCATTTTCTTTCTCTCTGAATTAGTTTACCAACCTCTTCATGCTCCTTTAATCTACAATCATTATCTTTCGAAATCTCATTATGTTCTTTCAACTTATATTCATTACATTCTTCCAATTCTTATTCAATATGTCCTTTCTAATCGCAATCACCATCCTGTTTCAATTTATACTCATCAAGCTGTTTTAATGATTAACTGCGCGGCAAACTATTATTATAGCAATAAAAAAGATCCGAGTTCGAATCCTCGTAATTTTTCATAAATAATTCGGGTCATGGCCAGAATTTTATTTCTCATCTTTTTCTCATGGAATTACGTGTAAGGCCCATAGATGTGGGACAAAAGCTGAGTTAATCTCAACGCCATGTTTAAGTATAGTTAACATATTTAACATCAACGTTGATATACAGAATAGTTAATACGCTCAGGCAATGCATTATGGACTATAGCTCATAATATCCCATGTTGCAATGCACTATGCATATTGCATCATCTGTATTTCTTGTGTCTTCTAGTTCCGGTTTCTTCTGTTCTTTTTCTATTGATACTATGAGCTAATGTACTGTACCTCGTTTTAACAAGACATAACTGACAGAAGCAGGCGTGTTACAAAAGAAAATAATAAAAAAAGGAACTGAAGGATCCGAAATCAAAAGACATAAGAAGTAAGTTAACGATATTAACAAGATCAAAACGAGAGTCACTAGGGTCTTTTGGCGACCTCGCTAAAGACCATAGTGATTTACTATTGCCCATCCAACAAATCAAATCAAATTTAATGTACTTTTTTTCAATTCATTTGATTTTTCGAATTTTATTGTCCTTTCTCGTAATTTTTACTTAAATATATTTTAAAATATTCCTTGAGAAATAAGTAAATAATAACTTCTTTCTTGTCTTTGATAATTAAAAATAATTTTCATTCGATTTCTTTTATTTAAGAATGCAGGCTTTAATTAAGAACTATAAAGCCTTCATTTAAAAATTGGAAGTTATTTTTTTATATTTTATCTCTTTATTTTTAAACTTTACATGAGCTTTTAAAAGACGTAATGAATAAAAAAAAAAGTTTACGATTTATTTAACATCCTTAAAACATGAGGATTAAAATCACTTATCCAATTATAATACAAGAAAAAAGAATAAACTAATTTGATAGTTTAAATTATCTAATGCTAAAAGAAGAAGGAAAAAAGAAAAATAAAAACAACGAAGATACAGTAACAAAGAGAATGACAAAATTACTGGAAGGACGGACAAATTCGATAAAGTATCGTTGAGTAGAATCCACTTAATCTTTCAGTGGTCCGTAAATGAATTACTTATGGTCATCAATTAAGGATCAGACCTGTCAAGACAGGCCTGTGACGTAAATCGTTTGTTGTGACGTAAATGGTGTTCATCAAACAGAATTTTCACATAAAAGTAATCAGGATGAACTTTTATATATTATTGAGAGTTTTCTTGACCAAAAAATAGCTTTCCACTTGATGCAACTTCTATTATTTTTGCTTCAGAAATAGATTTCTTATGCGGCCATCTTGTATTTTCTTTTTAAATTTTGAATAATTTAGATAAAGTTGTGTATAAATGCATATAAAATAATGGAAGGTAATCTTTTTAAAATGTTTACAAAGATGATCCCTAAAGAAATTTGTTTATTGCCTATTATACAATTGAGAAAATACTAAATAATAGTTTTTAAGTTATCACAACAAAAATATTTATTTTTTGACTTTTTATATTAAAATTTTAAATATTTTAATGAAATTTCTATAAATTTAAAGTTTCCTTTGTTTCGCCAAATCCCATATCACATATCTCTTAGCATGAATTATCCAAACTCAGCATTTAAAATGCTATATAAGAGAATTTATAATATTTATTTTATCAGTTAAATAATAAATAAATAAATAAAACTTTTAGATAAATCAAAATAAAGGTATAAACACTCATTTTCATAAGTAGGCAATTAATAAATTGAAGATGATTGAAGGTCTGCAAAGAACGCATCATATTTCGATTTGAAAAATATTTGTACAAAAACTGTTTACACTAATTCATTATAGTTATAGAAATTAATTTTCAGTGTAAATCTTGAGAACCGGAATTAAGTATAAGCTAAATAAGCTATACGTTAGAGTATCATGCTACGAAAGGCTCCGCTCCAAGAAAGTATGTTATAATTTTGGGCTAGGATCAGATTTAAGCTTAGGCAAACTAGTCTCTTGGAATTGGCTACGGGGTAGATCTGACAGGACCATCAATCGATTTGTAATTCACATGCAATAAGTAAAATTTTAACTGTATAATGAATACTGTAGAAACATTCGCAGTTTCTCCAACAAGACAGTAATAAATATCACAAAATTATTAATTCTTTTACGGGGGCCTAGGTCTCGAATTTTTTGCTTAGGGTCCAAAATTTTCTTACTCCGGCACCGCCTAAGGCCAAAGTTTAACTAAACAAAGCTCTGTAAATCTTCAGTAAAACATTAAAAATTTTTAAACTGTCCACTTAACAACTTTGCTGCACTCCCATTGCACCAATGCAACAACTGGTTCAAAAAGATCAAGTTCTTTTGAAAACAAAATTCAAAATTAATTTATCTGTAGAATTTCGATTACGATTAATCAAATAGAACAAATTTCATCAGAGCAACAGTTAAAAATCGACCGTAGTAGTAAGAAAAAAAGAATTTAAGATGCTGTCTTCCATTACTTGTCAGTCAGTCAGGAAACGTGTAAACATGTAATCCATGACATGTAATTTGTTACAACTCTACTCAGTCAGTAATCACTGGTCTCATCCCGCTAGGAAACGATCGTTAGACTCTAGACGAGGCCATCAGCGACACCTGGTGTCGAGGGTTGTAATGACTTGGAGATGGTAATGAGTTGAGAGTTTGGATATCAGGGTGAGATACACACACACAGACACACACACACATATATACATAGACACAGCAACCGGGGGAAAAACACAAGTGGGAATTTTTCTGTAATTTACAGACAGACAACCAAGTAAGTGCATTGTAATTACTACTCGAAAACCTATTGTTAAAGGAAGTCGAATTTAAAAAAAAACTGAAATTTTCTTTTTTCGTGTATTTTTAACTTGATAATCTGATTAATTTAGTGGCCATGTTGAAAATTACTAGTTTTCAAGTTGAAACTGACACGTGACTTACTCCACGTATGCCGGTCCCTACTGCTTTTTTTCATACAAATTTTTAAATAAAATATGAAAAATTTCAAAATCTTCTAATAAAAATAAGTTTTTATAATAAATTTGTAAGATATTTAAAAAGAAACCGACTATTTGACTCGATACTTGTCATTCTTTTCAGCGTTTTTTGAGTAAAGACAAATGATATGTATCGGTAATTTTCATGACATCAAAAATAAATGATATCAAAAGATATATTTTATAAAATTTTTACACGATTTGAATACGTCTTAAATTAGTACCTGAAGAAACGAAAATTCTTAATGATAGTGGTACCATTCGTCCCTTTTTAGATTCCGTAGGGGGTATGTTCCGGAAATTAGCTCTTATCCGCATCGATGTGAGATGTTTCCGTTCGGAAAAGACCCGCTGTGTTAGATAGGCCAACATTGTTTGAAATTGAGAAGTGGTCCTTTGATTTTGCACCTGTATCTGCTTTTCACCCTTGGGGTGTCTGGGGATTGTTAATTAAATGATAGGGTTTCAGATTGACGTGGTGCAGATAATTATAGGTGAATTCGTTCGAGTAGACTGTTATGTTTCTATAATAGCAGAGTTTCTAATGTTTTTATGGTAGCATAACTTCTGATATTGCTTCAATGTTTCTATAGTAGCATAGAGCTTCTAATGACATTGACTGCTACTAATATAAAACTTAATTTTTAGTAAAAATTGCACGGTTCTAAGAACTTTTAATTCACATCACAACAACTATATTTTAATTATATCTAACTTGTTGCTATAAAATTATATTAGTAACTAAACTGAATACTTTATCACGTTTTCTAATAACTAAACTAAATACTTAGTGAAGTTTTCTGTAGTGTTAATTTTAGTTTTTATATGCTGTAACCCATTAGTAGATCATACGTGTATGTTAGAAGACATATAATAACAATTAATTATTGTTATATAAACATCATTCACTTGGTTATATAAACATGTTAGTATGGTTTAGATATTGTTCGTTAACATATTAACATATATCGATCGTCTATAACACACGTTAAATATTTATTACCCTATTAGTACCAGACTATTAAAACAACTACATCTTGCATTATCACAATTACATAATCTGATATAGTTAAATTACATTCATTCGATTTCTATATAATATGATTTACATAAATACAAAGTAATCTAAATAATATACCTGCATGTAATTTAGATACTGTGTGCTACCTGCTAGTAGGAATATCAATTAAAGTTTATACTGAAAAAACTATTTAAATCACTTTTACACTAATTAATACTCATAATTTTACTACTTGCAGCTAACAATTAACTTTAATTTATAACATTTTTATTATTAAGACTTTCTAAAAGCTGAAATTTACTATTGAATATAGGCCTATACTTTGGATCGAATTTTCAACCGGTAGATCGCGATCCCCAAAACTTTTTCTTGTGACTCCATTTACAGAAGGTAGGGAAGCATAATAGTTAATAATTTTGTATTAGAAAGCTAATTTTTTATACATTTTTAAAGTTGAAATTCATTACAGAAAGTAGTCTTTACCTTAGATTTTCAACCGGTGGATCGCAGTCCCTCAGAATGATTTTCTTTTGATGCTTATTAAAGAATGTTGATAAGTATTACATTGAAACTATCTAAAGCAATTAAACTCAATTATAATATCAACAATATAAATCGAATGTAATTTATATACAGTTTGCTGCGTACTGAGAGGAACATTGATTAAATTTTATGCTAAAAAGCAACTTAAATCCCTTTTGAATTAATTAATACTTGTAATATCACTTCTTTCACTTAATAATTTTATATCTTAAAGCTAATTAGTATTCTTTTTACTTTCTCAGATTTAAATTCATTAGAGAAAGTATTCTTTAGTTTGAATTTTTAACCAGTAATTTTCGATTTCTAAGAGCTCTCTTTTTATAATCAAATGGGAATAAGATTGGGAAGTATATCAAATCGAGCTAAAAAAATCAAGTTTCGTAAATATTTTAAAATATTTTTATAAAACGGTATAAAATTATATGCAATCTATTTTTTTAATTAAAATTCGTTTTCAGAAATTATTTTTTTAATTTAGTTTTTCAACTGATAGATCGCGATCTCCAGTGATGCTGCAAACGTATTCTTACAATCAATAAAATACCACCAACTAAAAAAAGATTGAGAAATCTTATTACAGATCGATTTTGAGAAATTAAACTCATATATAATCTAAGAAATATTAATATATTTTAATACTTTTTGAAGAAATTCAGAAAACGCCTATAATCTTATTTGCATTTTATGATTTATAGTGCTTAAATCAAGAAAATCTTTCAACCATAAAATGTTTTTCTTTTTTTTTTTACTTTATATGTTTTGAATGTATGACCAACAATTATATTCGATTTATTATTAAAAATCTTTATAAAAAATGCTTTAACTTTGTAGGGAATGTCATAAAATTTCAAAGATTTCACAAGGAAGATTTCAGACATACAGTTCTGTTATAAGAAATAATATATATAAAATCTCCCAAATTCATATTATCTAAATAGATTTACTTAAATTTTAAGCTTTATATTTAATATAACATATTAATTTTAATTAAAATTTTCATTAGATTATACATCCATAATTGAAAATTAGGTAAGTTCTAAGAAAATATACAATGAATATGTTATAATTTATGACGAAAGCTTTAAATTATACAATTATCTACTCATCAGTGACAACAACAATAACCATAGAACAATAAAATTAATGAATTTTTATGTATAAAATAGTGAATTTAGCAATGGTTTAGTTTATTAAGTTTTTCATTCAAAATTTCTTGTTTACTTCAGAAAAGAACATAAAATCTTGAACAAATTTTGACAAAGATGAGGAAGAAGAAACGTGAATGAATCTTGAGGAGAATGATGAAGAAAAATATTTAAAAATCTTAAAGAAAACAATGAAGAAGCATCAATGAATCTCGAAGAAGTTGATAAATAAATCTTGAATAAGAAAAAACTTGAATGCATCACAAAGAAAAAAGAAGATAAAGGAATTTGAATGAATCTTAAAGAAGATATAAAAAAAAAACTTGAATGAGCCCATTAGTGGCCGAGTAGATAAAACCACCGGACACTAGTAGTTGATCGCGGGTTTGCGCCTGACCAACTGCTGACCACATGGAGTTTTTCAGGTTTTATTCACATGTCTAAATACGGGCCCAGTTTCCCCATAGAAAGTACTCCCAGGAGGCATCCCTCTTAACAGATTGTGTTGCTCTGTGTTGTACTCATGTGTGGCGTTACCATATCCCATTAAACCAAATCAAAATATTAAAAAACACAAATAATATTGAGAAACTTGAACGAATCTCGAAGAAAAAATATGAGTGAAAAGATGAAGATCTTTTTCCGCTTTTAACAAAAGAACAGAAGAAAAATCTGGATCAACTCAACTTTCAGAAAGAGTAAAGAAATTAAATTAAGCTGTAATTTTTAAAGTAGCAGATAAGAAAATATATATGTATATATAAATTAGTTTTTTGACTTTAAAATTTTAATAATTCTTCTCCAACTTTTGCTAATAGGTCTTTAAAAATTTCGGTAATGGCTCTCTGTTGATTGAACGTTTATTACATTAGAGTCCCAACAGAGATTTATTCTTACCAAACACATCTGTCCTACTTTTCTTCCTACCATTATAGAAATTGTTCTTTGTGTGGATCACGTCCACTACATTTTTTTCTAAGATTATTTAAGTCGTTTCAAGCTATAAATTTATGAATTTATGGCTTTAACTTCACTTATGAGAAATGAATACTAAAACATTTTCAAGATGAGATTTTTCTTGATTTAAGTTTTAAAAAATTGTTCATTCGACGATATCAAATTGATTTAATTCTAGATTTTTTCAAGTTTAGAATTTTTATATAATATATATATATATAGAATTAATTAATTAATTTTTTTATTAGAGAAAGAAGATATTTTTGTTGTTTAACGTAATTATAACATTTCAATAGTTATAGTTATAATTAATAATTTTATTGTTTAGGTATATTAAAAATTGAAGAATTCAAAAAATTTCTGATTAGAGTTTGTTACACAAGACATTATTTTATTATTTTCTTTTAAGTTTTTTATTACCAAATATACTTTAATATTATTGAATAAATTATGGATAAAATCTTTGAATTTCTGTCAATCATTTTGTAATTTCTTATATTTTTGAATGTTTACCAATAATTTTGTATTTTTTAAAATCTGATTTTTGAATTTTTTAATCAATGTTTTTGATATTTTTTATCAATTATTTTACATTAAAAAAATTAAATCTTTGAATTTTATGAGTTATATTCTATTTTATCAATTAAATTTTTAAATTTCACCAATTTTGTATTTTTTTCAATGAGATTTTGAACTTTTCTTAAATATCTTTCAATTATATTAATATTATATTAATGAATTTTTGTCAATTTAAAAAAAAAAGTATTTTTTTCAGTCAAATCTTTGAATATTTATCAATCACCATCGAATTTTGCCATTTATTTCCTTTCAATTATTCACCAACGTACATTTTTTAACGATCAAAACTCTTAACTCTCTACTTAATTATCCTAAATACATATCCAATAAATTAATGAATTATATCATTAGAACGTAGATTTAGAAACACAGGATCAAAACACATTTTAGAGCACTCTTTCCTAATTAAGATAATTAAAACAACAGTTTAATTTCTATTTAATCGTTAAATTTATTTAAATCTCGAGAGTTTTCAAGAGAGCCAATCGGACTATTCGAGTTAATTTAATTTACGCAAAATACGCAAATTATCCCTTAAATCCTCTCGAGGAATCTTATATGACAGATAAACTAAGAATCAAATAAAAATGACAATTTTATGAATCACATTACTTTTAAAAAAATATATAATAAAGAAAGGGGAAATATAAACTCGAGAGAATATTCACCTTCATAGTTTCAGTTGCGCTTCTTCAAAACATAACAAAATCCCGTTCATCTACTTAATTAGGAAATAAAGTAAAGTATATTCCTTGCTTTTACAATATTATATTGTCAATATTGTAAAATTTTAATATCCCAAGTCGATGGGAATAAGTAGGAATGCCTTCAAGATTGAATGATAAGCTAATTCAATCAGAGTTAGTAAAAGTATTCCCACGATAGGTTCAGGCTTTGTTTCTCTCTCTTTTTTTTTATTATATAAAAAAATTTAGCCGTGATTTCTTCTAAATAAATTACAGAAGTGGTGAAGATAATTTTGAAATGTATTCTCAATTGGTTTCACTTTGTACTGTACATTACATTGTTCGTATTTTTTCTTGATGTTTATGAAAGTCCTTCCACTTTGCAATGCTTGTAAAAGTCATTCAAAAACTTAGATTTATGTCTAAAAAATCTTTTGAAGTTTTTAGAATTGTAAAAAATCAGAAAATTAATTAATTTAATTATAATAAACAAATATATTATAAGTAATAAATAAAGGGTTAGTAAGAGTATTCCCTCGGTGGGCTTAGGCTTTGTTTTTTTATCATATAAAAAATTTAGCCGGGATTTCTTTTTCTAAATATATTACAGAAGTGGTGAAGATAATTTTGAAATGTATTCTCAATTGGTTTCCTTTTGTGTATTTTTTTTCCTTGATGTTTATGAAAGTCTTTCCACCTGCAATACTTGAAACAAACCTTAAAAGATCTATATCTAAAAAATCTTTTAAAATTTCTAAAATTGTAAAAATGCAGAAAATTAATTAATGTAATTATAACAAAATATTTTTCTTAAATTAGTAAATTTTACTTTTGTATACACGGATCTTTGCTTATAACTATGAATTTCATAATGCATAATCTTTATATTTATTTGTAGTTTGGAAGAGCTGCTTAAAGATTATTTTTCTGTATTTTTCAAGATAGAATAATAAAGATTTACTGAATATAAAATATAAAATATCCGGCAGTTTAAAAGAGGATGCACGATAATTCACTTTTGTATAAAACATTCATAATTTAAGAAGATAAAACATTATTTTCTTTTTTTTTCATAGTTTTAAACTTATATATTTTCTTAAATTATCATAAAAATATCAAAGTTCAATTTTGCAAAGATCAATTTATAAGTTTTTAATTGGTAAATTAAAATGGTTTTCTTCTATAATGTTTCAAATTGTGTTTTATTATTATTATTATTAAATCATGGATGAAACAGATAAATTGAATTATCATCATAAAAAGCAGTAAATTGGAATATAGATTTTTAATAATATTTTCATCAATTTCTATAATATATACAAATATAACTTATAAATCTTGTTGGAAATTAAAAAAAAAAAAAAAAACATAACAATTTAAAGAGGAAAGTAGAAATAAACACGATTAGAACTTATCTTTTTGATAATCCTATGGACGAGTTTGTACGATTAGTACTTAAATTTTTGAAGCGTTACCAAAAATTCGAATCCACACAAAGAAGCACCATTGGCCTTTTCATTGAAATTTGTATAATTTCTTTACTTATTTCACAAAGTTCAGAAAGTCAAGAAATTATGCAAAAGTAGAAATAGATTGAATAGGACTCGTCTCTTGATGGCCATATAGATGAATTTAGATGATTAAGTCTTATATTTTTCGAGGCGTCGTCATACTTGTATATTAAGATCTAGACAAAGAAAAGGCACTGTTCTTATTTATATTCTTGAGTAATTTCTTAATATTCCTAAGATTAGGAAGATCAAAAAATTTTAAAAAATATGCGAAGATAAGAAATGATACAAATAAAGATCAACATAAAGAAGCGTCATTATCTTCTCATGCTTCACATTATTTTATTATTTTCTTTTAAGTTTTTTATTACCAAATATACTTTAATATTATTGAATAAATTATGGATAAAATCTTTGAATTTCTGTCAATCATTTTGTAATTTCTTATATTTTTGAATGTTTACCAATAATTTTGTATTTTTTAAAATCTGATTTTTGAATTTTTTAATCAATGTTTTTGATATTTTTTATCAATTATTTTACATTAAAAAAATTAAATCTTTGAATTTTATGAGTTATATTCTATTTTATCNATTTTCTCATTACTACTAAAAGTATATTCATAACAAGCTCATTGTAACTCTTACATTTTTTGAAAGTTAGAAAAACTTCGAATCATTTTAACATCAGATTTTATATAAAATAGGAAAATAAGATATTTTCTAATTCAATTTAAAAAAAAATTTTTAAAGAAAACGTCGTAGAGAAGTAAAAACGAAGTTCTAATTAGCAACAAGAGATGAAAATAAAGGTCTCTATAGGTAAGTACACACGCACGCAACTGAGAAGAGAAACAAAGAAAAGTTCTTAAGAGTTGTCGTTTCGTATGATTTATAATTAATATCGAGAGAAATATATCGAAAGTGTTTATTATTTTTAGAAGCTATAAAAGTCTGCAGTTTGTTTCCCATCGGATGAAATTTCATCGCTTTGCCATATCGACTAACGAAACACATTCGCTAATAAACGTATGGATTATGCAAATTCCTGTCACAACTGAGAATGAATATTCTAGGCAATTTTCTGATAAATTTAAAGAAAAATTCTGAAAAATATATTTAAAAAAATCAAGTTAAAAAACACAGCTAAACTTTATTAAAACTAGAATTAAATGCGAGAAAGACTCACTGGTTTCTCTTAAAAACAATTCATGAATATCATATTCTTCTAAAATTTAGTGTAAAAAATGTATGTAGTTTTATTAATATACTTTTTATTTATTTATATAAATTTATGTATATTTTATATTCAATTTTATTTAATATTTTCATAGGAAATTTTGTTTATGTCTTGTTTGTTGTTTACAATAAATGAATTCCCCTTTTTTACCTTCTCCGTTTTTTTACATTTTTATCATTTAAATATTAATATTTTCTTATTTTATTGTTATTATTTTTATTTATTTATCATTTCTTATGTTTTTTACTTTAAGAATAGCAATCAAAATTGAAATTGATGAACAAACAAAAAAAAAAAAAAATAAGAATTTCTTCATCTTAAATCAAATTTATTTATTAAATCGCTAAAGAAATGACTTATTTATTTATATTTTATATATTTTTAAACAAATTTATATTCTACAATTAATAAATTTAATATTGGTATAGTTTTGCTACATTGTTTGTGTCTGTGGAGTTTTAATGATGAGAATTGAGTAAACTCTCACGAAAATATTAAGGTTTACTTTATTTCTTTATCGAACATTTCATCTCTGTTTTCTTTTAAAATATTTATCACAAAAATTACAAGCCTGCAGCCATTTTTCTTGATATTCCTCCTTTGCTAGCCGGATGTACTTATTATATCAATTATATTCTCCCCTCCATTATGTCAGATAATTGAGATTAAATTAAGAAACAATGGTAGAACTACAGCAGATAGTTGAATACAGTTTTAAATTCGCCT